TAAGACACTTTATACAAAGATTTAATAGTTTATTAATTTGCTATATTAGTAAATAATTAGCTTTAAAACTGTACTACCAGTAGTATACTATACTACTGGTAGTATGGGTAAATCCTATCTATTAACAATAAAATATTACTTTTTCTCAACTTTACATGTATCTACCTATTCTTTAAAACTTATGTGATAATTTCATTTGTATGTGTTTATTGGTTTGTAAACTTTATAAGCTTTATAAGCTTCTTTCTACGAAGTTTTTTTTATCTTCTATTAAATAATAAAATTTAAAAACTAAGTAATTTTATTGGTTAATTATTGCAGAAAATCACAGGTAGATTTACAAAATTAACCAATCATACGAATATTGGCCTATAACTGCTGAGTGCAGTCTTTCATTTATATTTTACAAATCCAAGTTTATATGAAAGTAGAGATATTACAGTCCATCCCAGTCCGGTTTTGGTCCCAAAAACTGGTCCTACCAGAGAACCGCAAACTTGACCGTAGTCCAGAGCTGGTCCATAAACCGATACATAAATCGGTCAATTAGCTGGTTTTCAAAATAAGCTATGTGGTTTTAATATTCGCTATATATAAAAGACCTTACAGTTATCATCAAAAATCTCGAAACAATTGAAAAAATTACCAATGCCTAGTGATGCAGTAGAATTATTTCAATGATTTGTTGTAACTAGTTGCAATATAAATTTTTTAGTTAGTTACAACTTGAGCTATAATATTATTAGAACAATTCTACTGCATACTGAATTGACAAGTTACCGATCAAAAATCTATAAATTACTGAATTAGGCTGATATTAGAAACTTATAGATATGGTCATTGATATATAAATATATATTTAGCCAATAAGGTTATACTATAGGCTTTGGACTAGTCCAGACCGGTTCTCAATTTAGGACCGAAAACTGGTTGGATTGGTCCAAAAGACTGGTCCGGACCATGGTCCTTGTAGAACTATAACATCTCTATATGAAAGGTATAAGTATATATATGTGTAAAAAATAAAACCTAAATGTGTGCAAACTTTAAAAAAGCGAACAAAATATATGATGCTATCAAAGAGGGAGGGAGTATGCAGATCTTAGGCTAGTTAATGCGAGTTCTAGCATTAAGTTATTTCTTTATTCTTTTATATTTACGAAAAGTATTTATAACTAATTTGTTTATACTTCTATTGCTAATTACGAGCATAGCGGGAGTTTGTTTTGATTGGCTGTTATTAGAATAAATATGATTGGCAACAATCTTTTTTTTTATATAGTCAATTGTAATTTTTAAAGTACTTTTAATAGTAAAAATTGTCGTGTCATATGAAACTTTTTTTTTGTAATACAAAATAAAAGGGTGGTATTATTTATCACCTGATTTTTTTTTATCAGTGGCCTACCTTCCCCCTATCTTTATATATAATTTCAAAAATTTTTAACCCCCCTAAAAAATTACCTGATATTTGATATCTTTCTAAGTTGTTAGTAGTTTATCTTTAAACTTATTGTTTTTTAACCTAAGATGCAATAAGATGCAATAGTTCCAAAAACTAGATGAGAGGTAAATATTTTGAAAGGTCAAAAGGTGGTCTGGCAGTCTAAACAATTGGTAAGTTGAAATTGAAAGATTCGCTTCAACTAGTTTGTGTTTTTTTTACGAGTAAAAGTATTATGTTGAGCTATTGTTCTAAACCATATTTTAATATTTTTGATTATAATTTATTTAGGTACAAGTATACTTTGTGGATATGACGTTTATAATACAATAAGTGGTAGTGTTAGGAGGTCGCGTACACGTTATTTGTAGACATTTATTGCGAAAAAAAATAAGAAAAACCTTGTAAAATCCAAATTAAAGTTGTTAATATAAAACTGAATTAGTATAATGTCTTTAGAGTGTATTGACTAATTTTTTAAAAGTTCGCGAGTTATAAAATTTTTGTCCGGGATTATATCCGGGATATGATCGACATTTTTTCCGGGTATCTTAACAACCAATCAAAACGAACTTCTGCTATGCTACGAAAGTAACACTGGTAATTAAATGGGATCTTTATTAACAATATTGCTCTTCAGAACTATATAGATTTAGTCCAAAATCATTGTTAATTATTTCAATATTAACCGGATCATTCGGATAAAATATCTACACAATATTATGCATAACACGTTAGTACGGTCAACGATCACGTTATACGCGATCACGTTGCAAAATCCAATCATAATCACTTTATAATAGACTACTTACTATAATTTTACATGAAATTTGTTATACTTTATAAGTAATTTGTGATTTATAATGCATCTCATAAATCTTTTTTGCATTTAACTCTTCAAGTAATTATTGATAAGGCACAAATATATATCCTGATTAACATATGAACTTTATTATACTATGTTTACAATATGTGATTGCGGAGAATGAGCTTTTTTATATTATTAATGCGATTAAATCAAATAATTACAAGTCAATAAATCATAATTTAATAGAATTCAGCGCTTTTACTACGCCATGATACATTTGCTCCTTCGCTTGATTCATAACGAAACTATCGAAAATATCCTGACATATAATAAAAATAGCGAAGAAAAAATATATAAAAATGCTATGAATTGGCACTAAAAAATTCTCATTCTCAATTCAATTCATTTCATAATAGATAAATTCTATAAACTTAACTTGATAAAAAAAAATTTTTTAAGAAATAAACAAAAATGTTTCACACAACCATAAAATTCATCATCGTCTTATTTACGCTTCTCTCGGTCTTACCAAATCTTGTCGTTCTTTTGCCGAGTCCCATTGACATCTCTTCAATTGCAAAAGATGATCACCAACTACATAAACGATGCTTCTTTCCAAGATTTTATTCTTTCGGATGTGCTGTCCCTTGCTACTTTTATTGTCGTTCGGCGGTACCAGCAGTGATGCCTATGGTTCCTGCTGTGCAGCCAATGCAAATTCAACCAATGCAAACTCAACCAATGCAAATTCAACCAATGCAACAAAATGGTGGCGGTAGTGCCGGTCAAAATGGCGGTAGTACCGGTCAAAATGGAGGTGGTACCGGTCAAAATGGCGGTAGTACCGGTCAAAATGGAGGTGGTACCGATCAAAATGGAGGTGGTACCGGTCAAAATGGAAGTAGTGCCGGTCAAAATGGAGGTAGTAGTGGGCAAAATGGAAGTAGTGCCGGTCAAAATGGAGGTAGTAGTGGGCAAAATGGCGGTAGTACCGGTCAAAATGGCGGTAGTAGTGGTCAAAATGGAGGTAGTAGTGGTCAAAATGGAGGTAGTAGTGGTCAAAGTGGTAGTAGTAAAGGTCAAAATGGCAGTAGTGGTAAAAATGGTGGTGGCAGTCGTTAATATTTCTATTTAATTTTGTGAATCATATTCATCTGAACAATAACTATATAGTCGTTCTAGGAATTTTTTAGATTTATACAAATAACTTTAAATAATTTATAAGAATAGCTTCAGTTGCAATAATTCTTAAAAGTTGCCATGATTTTTTTTAAAGTTTTTTTTATATTAGCCTTTAATAAATTTATCTTTATCTACTATAAATAAATTCATTGATTTTTAATAAATTTATCTAAATAAATTTCATTGATCACTTTTGTACGTACGTTGTAAAGGGGCCCGGGTGACCGCGATCTAAAATTTTCTTTTCTTTTTTTTATTGTTCTTATTTTATTTTTTGTCTATTATTATTATTATGCTATTATTTATTTTTGTTATTACGAAGATGGGACAGTATGCGTTATTAAAAATAGGAATTTCATACCTTGGAGCAAATTGCACTTGGACAAATTGAATTGCACCTAGTCGTTTAAGCCAGGTGCGATTTCGCACCATATCGTTCCTTCTATTACAAAATTAGTTGATAATAGTATCTGACAAATATAATAGAATAGCAGAAGTAGTAACAGACACTCCTGTACGCAGTAAAGGTCAAAAAGTATTTAAAACCTATCTTTTGCCTTAATAAAAAACATCTCGTATGAGTTCTAAACTTCGAAAAGAATACTAAGTTAGTTCTCTAAAAGCAGTTATTTTCTTGATCGCTAAATTAGACAAAATAATCGGTTTAAATAAAAGTGTTTTCAACTCCCCTTGACTCTAAAGGTCAACCTGATTTATCGCAATTTCTTGTCCCTGTGATTCTGTCGCATTCATATTATTGATAATATATGGCGCAGCTAATTAGTACAGGAGATATAAAAAATGAAAAGCTACACAATATTTTCTCAAAAATTGCTGAGATATTGCGGACTAAACTTTTATTAAAATTCGTTGGTAGTTTATTTAATTCATTATATAAAGGTAGGTGAATAGTCGGTACAATCACGTGATGTAATTAAAATCAAAAATTTTGAAAACTTTGAATTAAATTATCTTGGTAACTACCTGATTAAATTTTATGGAAATTTTTTTATTTGAATTCTATGGATTTATAGAATTCAAATAAAAAATTTTTTCATCGAACTTGGTTGAGAGGATATGGCTCAAAGTTGGAGAAAAATCAAACAGTTTATTGAATTAAAGCTACGCCAATTTTTTTAAACTTTAAGTGAAAATACCTCTACAACTAACAACTGTCTAAACTCAATAAAAATTTTTTATTTGAATTTTATTGATTCATAAAATCGGAATAAAAAAATTTTCATCGAACTTGTCAGGTGGTTATAGAGATATCTTTACTCAAAGTTAGAGAAAAATCATAACACTTAATAAAATAAAAACTACACCAATTTTTTTAAAACTTTGAATGAAGATAGATATCTTCACAATTATCTGTTTAAGCTTAATTAAAATTTTTTATTTGAATTTTATGGGTCTATAGAATTTAAATAAAAAAATTTATCAAATTTGGTCAGGTGGATATAAATATATCTTTATTACAAGTTAGAAAAAAATCAAAATATTTATTAAAATATAAGCTGCAATTTTTTAAAAAAAATTTAAGTGAAGATATCCCCACAATCATCTATCTAAATTTGATAAAAAAAATTTATTTTATTCTATGAATCCATAAAATTTAAATAAAAAAAATTCATTGAGTTTAAGCAAGTAGTTGTAGAGATATCTTTGCTCAAAGTTTTAAAATATTAATATGACCTATTTTAATAGGCATTTTGATTTTTCTTTAACTTTGAGCAATATATCTTATAACTACCTAATCAAGTTCAATAAAAAATTTTTATTTTAATTCTATAAATTAATAGAATTCTAATAAAAAATTTATTAAGTTAACAAATAGTTTAAAGATACTTTTATTTAAATATTTAAATAAATAGTATAGCTTCTATTTTGATAAGAATGCTGATATTTATTATATAATATTTAGGAGATGGGGTTGAGCATGTATTATATCAATATCTTATATTATACAAAAAAATTTGTATAATCAGATTCTTTTTAAATTGGCCAACCATATTAGATCTTATGTAAATATTATAATAATATTACAACTCTAAGATATTTTAATTTTTTTTAAATTTGAGTGAAGATATTTCAATAACTATCTGACCAAGTTTTATAAAAATATTTTTATTTGAATTCTATAAATATAAATTTAAATAAAAATTTCTATAGAATTTAGTCAGATAATTATCAAGATATTTTGATTTAAAGTTTTCAAAATTTTAATCTTAATTATATTATATAATTGTACTGTTTATAGATCTCCTAGATAAATATAGATTATTTTTAATAGTAATCATAACTATATATAATAATAGTATTATAGAAAGTTTTGATATAGAAATGTTGTATAAGTAAATTTTTAGTTATAATATAAAGATAGTATTAACAACTTTAAAGCAGCCTTGAAATCTTTGTTAAAAAGATAATACAACTATAAAATGATAAAAAAAATAGTAAATACAAAAAATTTGTAGTAATAAATTGGTCTTATCAAATAAGAAACATCTTTAGTATATACAACTAACCAAATCTAGAAAACCAAACTTTTATAAAGAGTTGATTAAATTTAAAATAAAAATTCAAAATAGCTAGAGATATTAGACTAGAAGTGTGGTAATACAAACAAAAGTTAGAAAATACTAGTAAGTTGAATATCTAGTACTAATTTAAAAGTATTGTAGAGTTAGATAGTGGTTTATACTAAAATACTAGCCCCGAATTATAATTTAATTTTATATTAGTAAATATAAAGTTTTTTAAAATTTGGTCTACTTCTATAAAATATATAGTATAATTTTTTTTTAGTTAGAATTAGAACTCTGTTAGAGTTAGAGTTCAAAGAGTTTTATTTTTAATTAAATTTTTTATATAGCTTAAATAATATTTTAGTACAGTCGACTCTCTCTAAGTGCAGCTCGCCGGGACCTATAAAATTTTCTTAAGTAAAAAAAAAAATCCTGCATTTAGAGAGAATCTGCACTTAGAGAATATGGGCAGCCGTCAATAGAAATCAAGCAAATCTACATTTGAAAAAAAATTAATGCCTTAAATTTCAAAGCTCATA